GGGCGGGCTTGGTGCAAGAGGAGTTAGGTAGGCCACCTCAGGTATGTATGTACGAGTACAGGATGATTGCGCGCACACAGGCCGTATGACCTCCTGTCTGACCCTCGGGCTGGTTTGGTTTGCTTTTCTCTTTCTCTCCTTCGTCTCGTCTCGTCTTGTCGTCTTCTTCGTCTTCTCGGATGGGCAAAAGGTGTGGAGAAATGACAGACACTGACTGGACTGGCGGGTCTAGCTTGGTACCTGGGCTTGTGTTAGATGCTTGGGTTAGGGAGAAGGATGATACCGGGATAAAGGCGAAGCGGAGCGGAGGCGCACAGCCGACTGTTGGCTAGCCCGCCCTTCTCCTGAGAGGCTGTCAACCCTCGTTACCTCCACGCGCCAACCCGAGCCACCCAACTCTGTATCCGCCGTGACTTGGGCTGGCCGGGATGGGACGGGGAAGGGGACTGAGTGGCAGCGAGAGTGGGAGTGAGAGTGGGAGTGGGAGTGGGAGGGGGGTCGACAAGGGGACAGGGGTGCAGGGACGGGTTGGAGACGAGCGAGCGAGCGAGCCACAGCAAGCAGTCCCAATTCCACCGGCCGGTTGGGGTTTGTTGGTAACAGCGACGACGGCGGCAGCGGCAGCGGCAGCAGCACCAGCGGCGCAAAGCAGACAGAAGCAGGCGAGGGTTGCGGTGCGGTGCGATACGGTACGTATTCTCGAGGGAGCGTAGTACTTGGTCGCGTACGTATGCAGTAAGGTGAGGTAAGGTAAGGCAGGACTGGGCAGGGTACCTGGATTGTTGGTGCTGGCGTCGCGTCGGAGAACGTACCTTTGTTGTATGGTGCGAGGATGATAGAGTACCTAGTGTAGGTATGGATGTTCGTACGCTATCGCAAGACGATAGTGTACGAAGTAGTGGTCCGACCTCGATGAATCGTTTAGTCGCGGCTGGTTCCTTGCGCAGAGGTAAGGTAGGTCCAGGTAAGGATATGGGGATATTGAGGGCGAGGCAAGCCGCAATCCGCAATCCGCAAGACGAGGGTCGGGATTTGGCGTGGATAATGGATTGGCGATTGTCACGGTATGCCGGCAGCGTCGTCGTCCCTCCGAGATGCGGACAAGGGCAAGCTCTGGTCGGCTCGGTTCGTCTTGAGACGTCGGTCGGAGTTGGAGAATGCTGATTCAAGCGAATCAAACGGCAGCGACTGGGCAAATCTCCAAGTTAGCTCCAAGTCAGTATCACGAGCTATCTCGGTATGGAGATATGATGATGTCTTTCTCTCGCTCCTTTTCCTGTTTCAATGATGCCTCGACTTGCAGTAGGGAGATTCCAATATCCGACGATAGGATACAGATAGACCACACTGGTACCTACACCTCTAGTGACCAGTGACCACAGATTGGCGAAGGGATGGGCTGGGCCGATTGAGGAGAAGGCGCTGACGAAAGTGGATTGAGCTGTATGGACGACTGGAGGGGGAAAGGCGAGGCAGCAGGGCAATCAACGGGGCAGGAGGGGCATTGATCAAGGATGAAGCCGGCGACGGGAGACCAGCAAGACGCTGTCTGGCATGCGCTCGGTCCAGCACACGAGGGGAGGGGGAGGGATTGCAAAGGTGAGATGGATGCGTAAACGTACCGTTAGCGTTTCTCTCCAGAGACGTAAGGTGAGGGGGGAAAAGGAATGAATCAGCGGGCAAAGAGATTTCAATTCTCAACCCGTGAACCGGCGAGCGGATAGTGGACGGTGTTGGCCGGGTTGGGATGTCTTTTGCAGAAAATGTACGAACCACGTACGGAAAGGCGAGTAAGGTAAGGTAGGTACAAAATAGCAGGAACGGTTTGAACGGGTACGCAGCACGAAAAGCGATGGACCTGGAATGCGGCAACGTATCCGCACCTGATATAACATTCAGCAACCACCAGCAAGTTGCAACCGCCTCGTCCAAAACAACAACAACCTGGGAGGATGTAGCGAGACAGATTCATCAGGCATTGTTTGGGCAACCCTACCGGCTGTGTCAATGCAGCATGCCTTTCTTCTTCTCGTGATTCTCTGATCATGATGCCAGAGATGGGTATCAATACAATTGTCAATTTCCTTACCCTATCTGTGTCTGGTGATGTAGTGCCTTCCTTTTTTCCCCTGCCCCTGCCCCTTCTTGATTGATAAATTTTCTGATTCGCCGAGTTCAAGCGCGGCAGGTAGCGAATGGTTCCAGGTTGCATTCCATTTGGAGAGAAGGAACGGGTTGCTTGTGAATAACACCTCAGGATGCAGACAAAATGCAGACAGGCTGCAATGACAGTCCCGAGCAGTACCGTACCGGTACGTACCCCAATCTCAATCATGAGAATGGAAGGAACCTACATTCCATTGTTCAAAAGGGATCCGTAAGGAAGGTACGGACACCTACCTTAGGTGAGGTGTCTTACCTTAGTAGAGGAAGGTGCCTCACTTCGTACCTACCATTCCTAATGTTTTGTCTCCTAGCACCCATTTCTGGCAAGTTCCTCCAAGCACGCACTTCACCCCAATAAGAAGGTACACAGTACCCAGCATCACGTCACAGATTGATAACAAGTCGTATGCGTTGAATTTTCTGCGAGCTTGAAACCACGACGGTAAACCGTAAACCGCAAACCATAAACCGGACGGCCGCCTCCAAACCAAGTGGCTGATGTACCCGGTGACGCTGGAGGAGAAACAGTTCCATGAGGTAAGGTACTAGGTATTAACCAAGCATCTGCCACAGCCACAACGAGCGTCTCCAAGCTGCGGATACGATACATGTACCTACCTAGCACTAGGTTCTTGAATCAAGTACGAGGCTGCGAGCCCGCCTTCAACCTGGACGTTGACATGAAGTACAGACGGCTATGGAGATGGATACCCAGCCGCGTGCCCTGGGCAAACAAGCCTCGCGACACAGAAGACGGCGAGGCTCAGCAACGGATGGGTGCATTTACCCTTTTCGCGTCCGTATGCCGTGGACGAGGACGAGGACTCGGCGGATACGGGAACACACGCCAACCGCCCACTGCCACCCTACCCTCCATTCGCCGCGGTCAGATACCTTCCTCCATACCTTTACGGATCCATGATACCATGTCGATGGAGAGAAGCTCTCGAGAGTCGAGCTACGGATACGGCCCACGGGGTTCCCTGCCCTGTGCAAGGTGACGTTTGTCTGGCCAGGACTGACTGCAACGACACCACGCCGGCTTGGGCTCCGATTGCAGCTGCGGGTTGCGAGCTGCATGTTTCCTCCTCCCAACATTAGCGCGGCTGTCCTAACGAACGAACCGGCTGGTCTTGGGTCCAATTGACAGCCCGCGCTGACGCAACAGCCCATCTTCCCGCTCGCGCCTGCCCACTCACACATGCCACTCACGGGCCAGACAAGCCAGACACCATTTTTTCCCTTCTTAACTTTTAAAGGTGCTGTACATCTTCATTGTCCCCCTTCTCTACTGATGGACACTGTAGCTTCTCCAAAATTGGTTGTCCTCTGCCTTGTACTCACTCGTCCTATCTTGTCCTGGCCGGTGCCATCACCAAAGGCCGACACAGAATCTTGTGGCACAGAGAAACAAAGTTGGTCCTACCCCAGTTGACCGAGGCAGATGTACTCCGTACGCCACCGTTCGTTCTTTTCCTCGCGAATGAGGTGGGTACACCGTCGTGGCGGAGGCTATCCCGTCCGAACGGTAGACACCGATACGAATATACCTGGTCCAATTCTGGTCAGCTCTCCAACGGCAGACTTTGCATCTGCGTCTCTTGTATTTCGATTCATGTTCGCCAAGAGGCTTTTCTTGCCCTCCCGCATTCCATTCGGCACACCGTACAAGCTGAACACTGCACCCGATGCTTTCATCTCGTAACTCCAAGTGGCCCACTAGGTCATCCAGGCGGTCATCTTCGCATTGCTGCCGCTGAGCGGCTTCACTCCCCGGCAGAGCCCATGCGACCAACAACAGAAAAGTCAAGCCATGTTCGTTGTGCCTGCCTAGTATTTGCGGTCTGCTAGACATGCCTGGCAGCTGCAGCTACTCCGTACGAACGCACACTATCGCAAAAATCCAGCTCAAGCTTAACCGTCCGGACCATAGACTTGCTTGCCCCGGTCTGGTATCTGTATCCGACCCGCCCTAGTCAAAGGTCAATCGACTAGTGGTCAGTAGACGACGAGGGAGGTAGAGCTGTCCCGGGCCTGGACACGGAGCTGGACCTCAAATTAGGACCAGCAGGGCAAACATGCCATTGACAATGATTGGAAGAGATCAACCCTTCCTTAGACCGAGATCCAGGCCAGCCTGGTCCCTCCAAACCACCATTTCTTCACCACAAATCGCTTCATTAATTGCCTGATGATGTGATCTAACCTACTGACCCTAGCTCTCTACCGATACTTAGGGTAGCTACCCCAGCTTTATGTGCCTGGTCCCGTCAGCTCGTTGGCCGCCAAGCTACCGACCTAAGCTTAGTAGTTCATGCCGACGGTATAGTAGACGACGCGTTATCAAGCATCATCAACAGCGAAAGGTATTTGAGTCACAGGCATCTGAGGCAACCGAAGCCGGCGGCGTACGAACTCCCGCAGCACAGGTGGCATATTGGAGACGTACAAGCGTGCTCCCGTTCATGCACGTGCCGGAGAAGAGAGAAGAAAAGAAAGAAGAAAAAAACGTGCCTGCGACCAGTCCTGCCACCTCTATCTGTACCTCTGCCTGACGATGCTGACCATTCGCTCGCAGCAGCAGACTCGCACCGCTCATGCCACTGTTGAAAACCTGGCCCTGGACCCGAGTTCCTACTGGGCAATTCATATGTGGCTCCCCAAAAGTTGCCCACCGTTGCCCACCGATGCCCACAATGGGCACTAGTAATGCATGCACCTCACAGACCATCCGCCCGTTCTCACTCCCATGGGCCATCACCAAGTCGGATCCCTCGCCCAGCAAGGTGCTGACCGAACCTTTAGATGCTGTGATGCCTGCCAGAACGGCTGGGGTCGGGAGGCCTACGTTCGTACTCCGTATAGTTCGTGCCTTGTGCTTCTCTGCCACTCTCTGTGGACTCTATCTCCTTGCGCCTGAGGCATTAGCTACTGCGTAAGATCCAGACATAGGATGACGATTGGGAGCCGCTAAGGCAGTACCGGGACGACACCCCACTCGGCGGCGGCGGCCTCGCCCAATCGGAGGTATCCAGACGGTACCCATCAATGACTACCGCCCACATTCTCCAACCACCGCTCGGCCTTTCGACCCCTCCATCTCTTCAAACCGCTGTTTTCACCTTGCCCGAGCCACCTCCGAACCTCTCTCGGTGGTGGTTGGTTGTCGGATTTTTATTGATTCAGCAAAGAGAATCGGGACAGAGGGGAGACGAAAGGGAAAAACTTTCATCATGCTTGCTCTCCCTTGCAACAGCTGCATATGCTCATCCGGCCCATTCTCGCGACCCGGCGACCGCGGCCCGCCCTGCAAACAGGATCATCTCTGGTGCTGCTCGCCAGATAGCTTCCGCAGCACATCAACATCACGAGACGAGACGCCCGGACCAGTTACCTCGACGTCATCTAGCCATTGTGACTGTGGCCGTGTTCGACCGCCTAATATAGACGGCCAGCAGTCTGTGCAAGTAAGAATAAGCACATTGGAGTTCAAGCACCTATCTATCCTATTTCGATGACGGCTTCCAAGATTGTTCGTGGCACAATCTTCGGTTTCGGCCGTACGTACATGGAACGACGTGCTACGGACATAGGGTAGCGTACACAACGCAAGCAGTCATGTCTCAACCCGTCTCTCTGCCGAGCCGCTGTCTCACCGGCCTCGTGCCAGACCCAGTCTTCCGGGGCGGGCTCCGCAAGAGGCTCGCTCGCATGAGATTCTCGCGCTTTCTTCACTTCCAAAACAAAGTATTGAGCATGCCGCACACCATGTTAGTTCCCGGCTGCGGCAACACGGCCCCGTTCAACCTGCATTGGCCCAGCTTTTATCCGGAGCTCGTTCTGTCTTTGTAATCCCGTTGTCGGCAGTCTTTGCCGTCCCGGTAGACAAGAGCACGAAGAATCCGCTCTCATGATGTGCTTCTCTGGTGGCACGCCCTCGGAGCCTGGTCGTCAAGTTGACCGGAGCGGCCAACGGTCAATATTTGAGAGGACCAATGGCCGGCACCGAATCAGGCCAGCGCCCAGCCGACAAACTGATTGCTTTTTCACGCCCCCTGTGTCAACTTGCTTTTTCCTCGGCTTCCGTCACATTTAAGGACAGGTACGATGTCACTTTCAATGACCGAACCACTCATGTCTAGGTAATTGTTTTGGAACTCAACGGTCATGAGCCGGAGGGTCTAGTCAGTTTGATACCGCTGGAACAAAATTGACTGCTAAGCCAACAGTTTCGTCGTCTTAGATTTTCTACTACCATTCATTCTAGACGAAACAACGTTGCCAAACGCTCGAAGTACGGTAGCGGAAACGACAGCGAGGAACCTGAGAAGGCTATAATTTTCTAGCCTAGGTTTTGTCATCAATTCCGCTTCTCACCGTGCCATTAATTCAGTTGGGCTAAATAAAGAATAGTGACCTCCCGGACTCCCGAATTGCACAGGAAATGAACTATCGACAACTTTGTCTGTGCCGTCACACTGCATGGATGGGGAGTAACGAGACGCCTCGATTCCCGCTATCTGTCCCCCACGCCCGGATAGAAAGCAAACACGACGTGGAAGTTGGAGTCATCCAATCGGATGACTCCCCCGCCCTTCAATGTGTCCTCGGCTTGCACTCGTCGTGATCCAAATATATCTCTATTGCCAGACGTTGGCGGGAGACGGTCGACCCAAACACACCTGGCCTCGGGAAACAGATGTTCAGAAACTGGCAAACCCTATGGAAAAGGCGAAATGGTCTCCACCCTTACGATTCGTATGCACAGCATTGTGACGTGTCTACGATGATGTTCACAAGAGTGGGGGTTCTCGAGGCCCTAGGAAATGAAAGTCTGGGACGGCCTCCCGGCCCGGCTCAATACCCTTCATTCATCCAGAGGAAGCAACAAGGTTGTTTGTTTTCGAAACCTTTTCCAAAGTTTGAGTCTACCATGGCTCACAGTTCAGCTCGGGCAGAGGTTTCCAAAGAAATACGGGCATGCGTTTGTCAGAAGCGCTGCTCTGCCTGCCTCGTTGTAGTGAACTCGTCAGTCGTCACACGAGGCGCGGAGGGAATTCGCAGCCGTGGGTGGCAGGTCGCTATCTTGAAACACACACGGCGAAACGAGCTTGCCCTGGATCCAAATTCTATCATCCGGAAACAAGTGCTGGTTTCCCCGAATCGGGGGATGCTTGAAGTTGAGCAGTGAATCCGGCGCTATATATCACCGGACGGTCTTGGGATGATCGACTTGTACCGGAAGTAGAGGCCTCGAAACACCAAAACGCGCACTAGAAAGACTTACAAGACCCATATCGCGGCTTAACAATAAGGTTAAGCATCTAATCTGTCTTACTTTGGAATACAGGCAGTCACAATTTCGCCCTCCCAACTTTGTCAACGCCGTGTGCGCTGCCGGCAAATACTTTCAACAACGTAATATTTTCACATCCTTCAATTTCCTTTCGGTCCCAAATGGGATCGAAATTACCTGCTCCCCTTCCTAAGCCCAACATCTCAATCCGAAACACGAGTTCAAGATGAGCGCTACGGCTGCGAAAGCGTAACAGAGCCAACCCCCTGACCTAGCATGGCGATGGCTCGGCTGTGCCCGTGTAACGGCCCGCGGAGGAGGGCCACATGGGGGGGCGGAGGACGGGATAGAAAAAGAAATGACGAGACAAGAATAAGAAAAACAACCGCCTTTCAGCCGCGAACCACACGACGAAACCCGCCCAATGGATTTGCAAAACAGTAGGCATAATGACATACATGACAACAACGCGGTACTGCGCAACTTTTTTGTTCGAGGAGATGATAGGGGGTTTGTATAGCCACGTCCTTCTCATGTTTCCGATATACTTTTTTTTCCTTTCGTTTTGGCCCTGCCAAGGCCTTTCAAGGCTTCGACTGCCGAGGTTTGATGGGGAATCGACCATTCAGATGTTTATTGTGGTAACGTGCGAGGAAAGCCAAACTACCACTCTACTGATGTCAACTCACTCCTCGAGGTGGATTAATGTTTGGAGACAGAAAGAGAGAGATAGTCCCAGAGGTTTGTTGGAGAAACGAGCTCAGGAGAGGGGGAGGTGGTTAGGGTAGGGAACAGCTTTGCTGCACAGGCAGAATGGAGATGGTGGTAGTTGGCATCCCACCGCTTCCATACCCCCCACCTCACACTCGCGAACTTCGTACTGGCACTAGTGTTGTAACATCGGAATTCATGGTGAGTATTGCTTGTATTTGGATGGTACCAGGTGAGTGGACGTCAATACAGCAGTTTTAACAATCTTCTTTGCGAAGCTATAGAGAAGAGAGAGATGTTGTAACGCCTTACCTACCCAAGTGACGTAGTCGGTGGTTGATGAGCCTCTTCACAGAGCCGGTGGAATCATTTCCAAGAGTCATATCACAGTCTAGTGGTCCAGACCAGTCTCCGTCTCCATCTAACAGCCATGCCATACCTTGTCGGTTGGGGATAACCTCCCACTGATGGAGACAGTTCCAAACACCCCAAAGATGGTACGAGAAGATATCACCTCAGATTGGACATCAGGATCAGAAATCGAGATATCACGATTTGAGCCGGGGGGGCTAGTGTGGGATGCGATGAGCTTGAACGCTGGAAAGCTGGGAAAAGCTAGGAAATTTGATCGGTTCCCCATCCCCTGGCGCTCAAGGTCCGATTCGGGTCCTCTCCTCCGTGTAGAGTCGCCTTCCGAGCACCAGACGGCTACCCACCACCCGCGGTGCACGGGGGTGTTCTCCCGGACGCCCGGGCCTCCGAACTAGAGAACGACAACATCTCGGGGAGATGACCGCCTACGTGTGTGTGTGTGTGTTGCCGTCGATGCGGCGCGATCTTACGTCGCGTATTTCTTGTAGACCTCTTCACGGGGTCTCTGGTATACGTTCCATGGGCGGCGGTGACCCGATCGTCTTTGGACCAAGGTAGGTGGTTGTTGCTGGAAGACGGAGATGAGGCCAAGTCGAATGTCGTCGTGGCTGGGGGGGAGGTTGGAATTAGCATCTGGATGTTACACAACCAAGGGTGCTGCTGGTCCGTAATTGCTTTCTTTCTAGGTATATTGACAGTTTGCCGTGATGGATGCGCAGCTTATTAGGCAGCTTGCTCACGTTTACGGGGACGGGACGATTCATCAAACGTTGGCTGGTTTACGTCCGTAAAGCATGGCCATTGATGACATCTACCTTGCCTCTCATTCGTCTTTATCCGCGCTTCTCCACACGAGCTCTTGCTTGGCTCTCACCTCTCTGCCCTATCTTTGACTTCTCTCTCTCTCTCGGACGTAATGCGTACAGCCTTACATTCCATGTTCGGACACGCCGTGTCGTTGGGCAGGGCAGGGCAGCCCTTCTCGAATGTGTGTATGCAGCTCTGCAGATCTGCCGCTTTCTTCGTATCTGTCACCCCTGGTCTCACTACTTGACGTTGACGTTTACGGGAGGGGGGGGGGGGGGTTGTTTGTTTCCTTCTGACATGGCTGTGAGACATTGGAACCAAGTCCACCAAGAAAGAATTATACGAGGAGAGGGGGTTCCTGCAGGAAGGATGCAGGAAGCAGGTACGGATATTTGGTCCTTCTTTCGTGCGGCTGAGAGTGGAGAGGTCTTGGAGCGGAGCGGGTGTGATGGTGTGATGGTATATTAAGACTAAGCTTTCTGAGTTGGTGGCAAGGCTCTCTCTTTTGTGTGTGCGTAAGGAACAATCTTTGATGGTAAGGTGATATGTCCAGAATGCTGGGCTATTGAGAAGCGAATGCAAGTAGTCTTCGTTAGTCCCGACAAATTGTCCGAGTTCTAGTATAAATTGGCATTCTGGTAGTAAGGACAGTGTTGAAATGACATACTACAGTCAGCAAAAATGCCCTGCCTTCGAACAAGAGCACAATATCTGCTCATGTTGACCGACTAGCTACTACTGATCCTTCAGATCACTAGACCCGTTCATTATCGTTTCCAACGCCCACTTTTCCTTCATCCGTCCCTGATGTAATCCGGATGAATATACTTCCAGCGAAGAGAGGCGTATAGAGATGTCAGGGCTTTTTCAATATGCGGACAGTCGTAGATGTGGAAGGCGGACGGGCAGCTCAAGCCAAAACCACGGACGCGGTGTTATGGTCTGACAGCCATTGATGAGGCGGCCAACACCTGCGTCGTCGCGCTTTGACGTTTGGCAATGTATATATCGAGAAGCAACTTCACTGCCGCTATATATACTTCTCAGCAGTAGTCGAGCTACGGGTGGGGAATCTGAAGTTGTCTTTTCCTCTTATCAAGTCTTACTTGTTGGGGTGGTCCGGGGAGCTCAAATCGTGGTGATCAGTTCTGCGGAAGACGTGTCTGCCAGGTTCTAGGACACATTTCACCCTCGCTACTTTACTCAAACCAACGGTACCATTTATAGTCTTTGAAACTCGACGGTGCCAAACTAACCGAACACGTCTCCAATATTTCATGGCGGTTTGATTGATTAGATGCTTGTTGAGCACACAAATGCCCATCTGCATCTCCCAGATGTGGCACGGGGCGATAACCGGTAATCTCATTATTTAACATACTACTGATCGCATGAAATTTGCACTATGGACCAAAAGGGGATGTCAGAGGGGGGGGGGGGGGGGGGGGGGGGGCTACCCGGCGAAGGCAGGGTTCTCCAGGGCTACATCTCACTTTACGTTCAAGAGTATGAAGAACAACTCGAATATGTGATTGAAAGTCTAAGGCCATGGGAGTACGCCGTGAATAACAATTTGAAGGAATGTCAGGAAATGAACGATAGTGAGTCTTGCACTATCTGGTGTCTTCAACAAGAAAATCACTTCATCGTTGCTGCTATATCCAAATCTTGGTGTCAACAACATACAATGGATATGGGTTTGTTGGCCATTGGTTACTTCTTCTAAAAACTAGGTCCTATATCAGACTTTCTTTCGGGGCGTGAGGTCCTGCGATGTCGCCAGCAAGCTGATCTATACATGTTCGAATGACTATTTTCCAGAACCAAACTTGTATCACCTCCATCCTGGCATCTTCATCATCGACTACTATGTTCACTCCCTCACGATGCATGATACGTGTGCTGTGAGCCTAACCTGAGCCCTCTGCGCCACAACAACCAAATCGCTTCAAAGTACACTTCTTCACACGGTTCAAAATCATCTCACGTCTTTGAACCCCATAATGTCCAACCTAGTTCACCCCTCAAGCCCCCAACCGCCTCGCAACCTCCTCAAACCCACCCTCCCCCTCCTTAACCCAAACATCAACCCACCCCTTGGCATCCTCATACCTCTCACTCCCAGCCTCCCAATCCTCCTCCTCCGGCCTCTCAACATAAACAGTCCTCATCCCCCGTCCCCTAGCAGCCATCAAATCCCCCAAATGCGCCGCCACCATCGCAACCTCCCTCGCCTTGCCCCCGCCACCACCACCAACCAAAACCTCCACCGCGCCATCATACACCGCCTCATTAGGCTTATACGCCCTCCAATCCTCCGCCGACAAAATCTTCCTGAACCCAAGCCCGCCAAACGTATCCAAATCCCCCAACAACGTCCTGTTCCCGTTGCTCAGCGTCGAGGTTACGTATTTCCCGCCCAACCTGCGCAAACCCTCTGCGGAATCCGCCCACGGCCGGAGACGGTGCCATACTTGACTCAGCTCGCGGATTTCGGTGGCGGAGTATACGCCCTCCAACCCCCAGCCGCGCAAAAGCTCGACGAGGCTGTCGTGGTGGTGCGCGTCAATGTCTTTCCAGGGTGTTTGGGCCGGCACGTAGCCGCGCGTGAAGCGCATGTAGGAGATTCGCCATTCTTGGGCGAAGGCGGGCCAGTTTGTGGTTGCGAGTTTTTCTAGCTTCTCCTTGGTGTCGTCGTCGGAAGAGGAGGAGGAGGAGGAGGCGAGCTTGGTCTTTGCGCGGGAGGTGAGTTCGTCCACCACCGAGGATCGCCAGTCTACGACTGTGCCGAAGACGTCGAACGTCAGGGCTTTGAGGTCGCGGAGGTTCTCTGCTTTGATGTTGGGGAGGTCGCCTGCTATGCCGGACATGGTTTCTTCTACAATTCGCGCGGCAGTTTCTGGATATTGGGGGGGATGGTTCTGGATTTCACTTCCGCTCCATTCTGCTGAGATCTTTTACTGAAAAATCTAGAAAGCTATGAATGAACCAAGCTTTGAGTGAATACAAAAGAGCAGTTGTAGTATAAAGGGCGTAGAGGGCAGTCGTGTGTTATCAATCTTCGAGGCGGGGTCGGATTGCTGACTGATCCGTCCCGAACCCCGCCTGTTCCTCGGACCCGGGAGGGGCCGCGGTAAGACAGGGTCCCGCTCGGGCAGTCCGGGCGGCGGAGAATGTCAGACAGACTTGGAAACATGTGCTTAGGGACTTTGTAATATCCCATACCTGTTGAATAATCTGAGATGCACTGAAGGCATTAGAAGACTGCATTTGTTCATCATCAACAGTAGTCAAAACCAGCCAAGGGAATGACTTCATCGGAAACACCAATTATCAACCCTCGTGGACGAGAGCCTCCAGGCTGGGGAGTGAGAAATCAGACGCTAAAAGACGTCTATAAGTTCTATCAAGAATTAACTGTAGTACATGTCTGTGCAATTCAGTCCCGTGGACTGCGTCAAATCTGCCATCTACCGAGCGCTCGCCCGCTGTGCATATATCTCGGACATCGGTTGATGCTGAGCCTCCGTCACAAACAAGGAGAAGGATGGAAGTGGACCATGAACAGTAGCCATACGTCCACTGCTTGCCTCACAGTTCTTGCTCTTTGCTTCGCCTTGGGAAGTCGGACACGAAACAGTTCGACGACGAGAACGCATTCCGATCCAGGCAATCCAACCTCGCACACCAAGAAGCGATCACTGCCTTGGATCACGGGAACGCAACTATCACCTCCAACATGGCGTATCCGAAGAACCATACGGATAACCTGTATTATCAAAGACTTTCCCAAAATCCAACCGCGCGCGCGCGATCGGGAATAATCTCAACTATCCCGGCAGCCCCAATCTCGGTTTGGCACAAAACCCTTGCCTTGCCCACACGACCTCCCTCCGAAGGTCCTCCAGGGGGGGAAACAAAACACACATCGTCTGCCTTCCCTCCCCATTTCGTTTCTTCGAAAGCTATGTTTCATATCGGCAATGACGTCGGAAACAAGTGGATCGTGTGGTTCAGGTCTTGCGGGATGAAAACAATGCGTGCGAGTGTGGTAAATGACAGCCTCATCTCCAGGAGCCAGGTCCTCGGCTCTTGCGCCTCGTTTGATATGGGTCTTCCCTATTATTCTTAGTCGTTTTCGTTTCTTCAAATTACTTGGCACTCAGAGACAATGGCGCGCCCAAAAAGGGGGACATGAGTAAGTGAGGAGATTGTGTTACACGGAAAGACGAAAGGTGACGGTAAGTGGATGACGAGCGAACAGGGCGGAATCTTTGGGAATCAGTGTTGACAGCTATAGATGAAGTTCACGTTCAATTCCTGATGATGGAAGACGACATCATGTTCAACTCCTGGTTCACGAGGAGTCAAGATACTCCAAATGGATATGCCACGGTTTGTTTTAGCCAGGTAAGGGGCAATGCACTCGCTATGATCGAACTACGCAGCCTTCAAACAACATGGGCAACGGCGAGAATATGTCTTCGAGTCAGTCTTGTAGCGTGTAAGCCGGAGTAGTGTCAGCTCAGGACCATACCAGCTTAACAGACAGATACATCACTCTTCCTCGTGATCTTGTTTGTCAAGCTCAAGGGTGGAATTGCATTCTCTTGCCTCGTGCCATTGCCGCCTGGAATAGCCATGAACGAGAACAAATAGCCGCCGAGACCTCGGCTCGTCCTTCATACGGCAGCGCGAAACCTGGATTCAACCCCTTTGACCGCGCAGCCGTGTGTGAGTCAGTACTAGAGCCCGAGACCGAACGCTCTTCTTGGAAATCAAGCACCAGCACAAAGCTCGCGACCCGATGAACATGTTTGACCCACGGCCCTCGGAAATTCGGGCATCACCGCCCTAACCTCATGAAACCAGGCTCGTTAAAGAACTTCCTCTGTCCTGGCTCCCCATCGTCGCGGTAGCTCACTCAGTCTTCACGTGATGGCCATGAGCCACGGCTTGCCACCCTGCTGGTCGTCACGCACCCATCGTCGCTCGCCTATACTCAACCGATATTCGCTGCTGTTTCAAAGCGTGCCCTAGTCGTTAAGTGGCTCAGCGACGCCGAGGATTGGGCACCCGCTCTGGTATGTATATCATATCAATATGGGAAAGACACCACTCCTTGGTTCATCTCGGTGTGCTTCGCCGACGATGGAACCCATAGAGGCATGTCTTTTGGCACTGTCGTAATATCGCAGTGCAACACGCCGACCTCGCCGGCCCCGGATATTTGCCGTCAAGCGGGGCTCTTCCAAAGGACCAGGGGCAGCGGCGGACTGAGTTGCCAAAGACGCGCGCACTGACGGCGTTCGCGGCTGCTCAGATGATAGATCAAGGGAATATCTTTGGTCGTGGCAGAAAACGTCCACCATCCCGCAGATGTACGCGGCGTTCGGTTCCCCATGCTTTCGATTTGAGGAAGCTAATTGTCCAGTACGATTAGTTAGTCCGGACGGATAGCCAAACGACGATGTGTTGCGGATTGCCTTGTCCACGTGGCAGAAATGTCCAAAATAGCAGAAACATTGTCAGAAATTCCCCGGCCAGGTGATATTATGGCAGAAGAAAATGAGATGGATCACTGATGGGGGCGAACATGGTTGGCCAAGAGATGAGGCTGCTTTAGGAAGCCACGGGAAATGACCTCTCCATCTTTTGCGCAAAGTTTTTGACTGCCTCGTATGACGCGGGTGCGAGGTGATGCTACTGTGTAAAGTGATGGGACGAGAGCGAGTGTGTTTCGCGAACGCAACCTCTTGTGCCTCCTCAGGTTTCCTAGGCGAATTTGAATGAACGCTGGTCTCTTCTTAATCGTGACGGCAGTGAATCCCCGGCTCTCATTCGTGGAGGGTCTAGATTTGCTAACTTGCTGTGAGTCTGGAACGCTGGATTGAGTTTTGCTCAGTGTTCGACGGTTGCACAAACTACAACCTTGTAATTGTACCGATCCTGTTTCCTACCCTTATGATTTCGCGCTTTACGAGAGACCTGGTCTGTTATTGCATAGAGACGCATGTCATTCGTGTGCGGAAGATTAAATTCCCTGCAGCTGCATTGAAGTTGCTCACGTCAAGCAATTGTGCGTTCGCTGGGGCTTGTCACAAACGGTTGTGATAGAGCTGCATATGCTCCGCTTTACTATGAGAACGGGGGCTGACCGTTACTATACTTGGTATTGCTCGACCCAGGCCGGCGAAGAGAGTTTGAAGTGGCGTCGTCCACGGTATGCTATCCACGTCCTTCCGGCTGTAGACGCTGTGGAAGTGGTCGATATCATGTTCAAATGCCTCTGCCACTTTCTCCTAAATATCAGGAGTGCGGGTGGCGTTTAGTCGTTGCAGAAAGATCGATGGTGGCAGTGGCTAAGAGACGGGCCGGGCACTAGCACCAAGACAAATTGCTCTTCGGCCGTGGTTCGTTGACTAATAACCGGCAGTCTGGTCCATTTCGCAGCGGGTCTTGTGGCGTTGTGCCCAATATCTTGAAAGTCAAATGGCTCGTTGCAGCCTTGGAAGCTTGGGGTTATCGAGTCACGAGCGACCGTCGTTTCTCAAGGAGACATCGCGTTTGTCCGACCGGGCAGCGCCGCAGATCCTGCGTGTTGGTTCGTGGCCATGGGTATGTAAAGACACTAGATTGTAGTGAGCAGCGAGACCGGGGAAGACATCCGGATGGGGAGAAGGCGTGATAACTTGAAGCTGCGTGTTTGCTCTACGAATACACCGGACATGGAGTTTGAGAGGATCATCCCCTCTCTCCGCGATGTTTGTTGTCGCTAGAGGTGCCCGCGCCATTTGCAGAATGCTTGTTCCCTGTGCCTGGGTTTTTGGAGTAGCAGAGCCCTGAATTGAGTTGGGACTTGGGAGTTGGGCGCGCCGGGAGGGCATTCCAAAACATTCGAGCTGACACCAAGCCAACCGAATAGGCCGGCTGGCCTATTAGCGCAAGCCTCTCGCACAGGATATTGCTTTTTCAGAACCTTGCTCGTCTGTTGGTGATATGAGGATCAGAGAATTGGTTTCTCCTTGGCGAACGGCAGCGGCGGAACCGAGCATCGCGGGATCGGACGAAGGTCCGATGCTGACGATAGAGCGGCTACCAACTAGAGACAGGGGACCTCGACGGTTCGTGAGGGGAAAAGCCTTGGTTGCTATCCGTATATCCTCCGCCTGATAAGAGCCCCTACAGGCTCTAGACGCCGATTCCGAATCTGCTTAGTGCAAGGAATTTAAGCGGGATCGTACCTGATATTGTTGGGAGGGGGCGCGAACCGATGCGTCGGCGCCGGAGGCTTACAAGCCTGCCGAGTGGTGTATTTGCAGGGCTGTATGGACTGGGGATTTAATCTGGCTTGCACGGTCTTGGTCTCCTTGTTGGGAAAGGGGGTCATTAAAGCTGAGAGGAACTTCGAGAGTGACCCAGAAATGTATTCGGATATCGAGCCGCATTGCGCACTCTTGGGACGTCTGGGAGCTGTGCATGGCGTCAAAAATCTCTGCGACTGACTTTTGGGGGCTTGCTTTGTGAATTTGAACACGAGAAGTCGAGGCCAATGGATGCGCGAGTAGCTGCCTTGTATAGGCTCGAAGGTGAATAGCAAAGGGCTGCGAACAGGTGCAGCTTTTCCGGGCAATGCATCCGTATTCGTAGGCGACCTCATCAGGCATAAACGGGGGAGTTCTTCAGTCTTGCGAACAGACAATGGGATCCGCTTCCCGTGGTGATATCGGGAGGCTTATGCTAAGTCGGAGGAGCCACCACGAAAGGGGCCAATGACCGAGGTCGAGAACGTCTCCGCTCGCGGGGTGAGGGGGTCTCATCCGTCTTGATGGTTGTTTATGGTGAAAAAGTTGGGATTGCGAAGCCTTGG